CTTTAGCATACCACATTGGTCCTGTCCATCTAAAGTGCCTTCCTGCTACTAGTTCTCCGTCTTTATCTTTCTCCTGAGGTAAAAATGATATATGACACTATATAGTATTAGACATTATAATCTGTTTGTACTGTTTCTTATAGAAAGTTATTTTATATGCTAATCCAGTAGATATTGAAATTTTGATCTTCAAAAAAAGTGTTATGGTGTAATGATTATTTGAATAGTGTTATAATGATTATCAAAAGTATGCCTATAGTAATTGAACAACATGGTGAGTTAAAGAGTGTATATTCAACTTTCCTAATTAAGATTTTTCTTTTATTTAAATGTATAGATTGGACTGTACTCTATTTTAACCAATTCTGATAACCTTTTCATCTGTTAATCTATCAAAACTAAGAAGTTATGAAGCAGATCAGCTATATTAACCCTTATAGAATAGTATGGTTATTATGTGATAAAACAGAATATATAGAAGTTATATTCTGCTTGATATTTATACTCCTAGATTTGGTAGCTTATGTCAACTGGTTTGAATTTTGAAGTGTCTACTAGAAGATTTAGAATCTAAGACCCTTTAAGAGTCATGCTTACTTGGCCAAAAGAATATCTATATTTGATAGTTTATGTCAATCAGTAGTTAAAACCAAAGTATTTATTAGGAAATATATACTTGCATTAAAGGCTTCTTTATGCTTATAAGTTGTATATGTAAGATATAAAGCAATAAGGTGACTTATGTGAATAAATTAATAATATAAGCCCCTTATATAAACATAAGTCCTATATATTAGGTATTTTAAAACTAGTGATAGGATTTCTATCTCCTATAGCTTACTGAATTATGAAAGAAAATTATAAAGCAATAGGAATTTGGATATCAGTATACAAGATTAATAGATTAACATTTAGTTGTAGTCATATATTACAAATGATGTTTTATATAATGTATAATATTGAATATCAATAAAAAAATTTGTATTTAATGCTGTTTAACCTTAAATAATAATAATAATAATAATAATAATAAATAAAATAAAATTAAAAAACAAAAAAGTTAAAATTTCTCTTTAGAACTACTTATTTTAATTCTTGTTATATTATATTACTCATTTATTCTTAATTATACTAGAAATGGTTTCTTTTATTAAAGACAATGAACTTTTTTAGCAAAAACTTATTCTTGTGTACTTCAATTAATAAATATATATCTCTCCTTATTACAAATCCAAAAACTGTAATCAGTTTTTTCTCTTCAAAAGATTGACAGAAAATAATTATGCCATATTGGTCACAAGACCCTCAATATGAATAGAACTATAGCTATTTTGCAATCATATGCTAATCTGATTAAACAATATTAAAGAAAATCACTACACAGACATGAATAAATAGAGTAATGTCAATAGCAACTTTATAAAAGTTTCATTTTGCTTGGTATTTGTACCTTTAGATTTAAAAGCTTAAGTTAACTAAGAGCCTATAGAGTATTCATTGAAGAGTTTAGAAGTTACATTTCACAAGGCCTAATGGTTTTCAGGTTTAATAATATTGTAAGAAATCTATAGACGTCCGGCAAAAATTCAGATTTTCTTCGAAAAGTCAAATGACAACCTCTTAAACGATCTTAAGAGACTATGGATATTTTGATTAGAGAAACATCTTTTATTAATGGCCAAAAAAGACATTGTCAATACTGATTTTTTAATAATCAAGAATTTAAACTTCTGACTGAAGAACACTAATAATTAGACTAAAATACATATTCAAAATCACAATATATTCATCAATCCCAAAGCTCCAGAGTGATGTGAAACCTGAAACTTATAGTGATTATTAATTTAACATGATTTCACTAATTAACATGTGTTATCAATTAGTAATTGATATTAAGGGGTTATAGAATATTATTAATGTGTTTGATTAACATTATTATTCATTTATTTTCTTATTTTATTTTCTTTTTCTTTATTAATTCATATGATCTCCAGGAGAACCACTAAGATTATATGTATTTTATTCTATTTATTTATATTGGGAAGACATGTATTTAAAGACTGTATTTTTTCTTTAATTATCTTTAGAGTTGTCTGCTTCACTCTCCATTAATAAAGTTTTTCTTTAATAATGATAAACTATTAATGACCAACATGTTTCTTTACTTAAACTATTACAAATATGTACTAACTATAGGAAAACTTTTGAAGCATTTATTAAAAAGTGTAAAGAAGTAAGCCTACAGGTATTATAACAGTATAAGCTAAAGGTGTGAATATAATAAGAAACCTATTAACGATTATCATATCAAAATTATAACCAGACCTCAACAAAAGTCAGAATATAGACACACTTACAAAGTGATAGTTGATACATTGGTAAAATCACAATAGGCTAGAATTAATTTTGCTTTCTATAAAAAATTCTTAATATAATAACTATTAAAACATGGATTTAATAAAGTCTCACATTTAATACTCATTTGCAATTTAAAAAAAATAAAATAAAATAAAAAAATCTATTGTTATTTATTATATAATTATTTTACTATTATTATTTTATCTTATTTTTAATCAAATTTCAATATAAAAAATATAAAAATATTTATTATTAAACAAAAACAATATCAACATATTTTGATACTTTTTTCTTTAAAAAGCTATCTATACTTCTTCAGGATCTATAGGTCAAAGCCATATTAATCATATTTGGACATTAAATAATATTGCTTTACAATCCATTAAAACACAAATAATAAACACTGAATTAAAATTCCACAATGACCTCAAAATTATTATACTTATACTTTACAAATTTCTAATAACAAAAACTATCAAAAGTATACTAACTATTCATTATAACTTTAACAAAGTTATTAAGAAAAAAAGAGAAAAAATTAATACAACTATTGACAACTAAAACTATTTCCTAAAAAACTAAACATCCAAGAAACCTAGAAATTTTTCAACTCAACTAACACTAAAATCTTAAATGAACTGATCCCAAAAACCAAAACATGCAAAAATATATCACAAACATTCATCAAAAAAGATATTACACTTTCAAAAAACTACAAACTATTAAATTTTACATATACAATCTCATATTATAATCTTCTAAACCACTTGACCAAATAATATTAAAGAGTTTAAAAAAACCAAATCTACTATATAACAACAAAAATGACCAAATTAACTTCTTTAAAAAACTATTTAAAAGCATTTATAAAACTCTTAAAATTGAAAACAATCTATAAAGAAAAGAGACAATCAACAAAATTATTAACCAATGCATAATAAACTTACAAGACAAACCAAAAATAATAATAATACAAACATTTAACCACAAAAACCCATACATATCCTTTATAAAAATCATTGATCCCATTAATAATAAAGTAATTACTGACCTATTTCAAATTTATCAAATAATTACAAATTATTATAAAATTATATTCTGCAAATAAAACATTAATAATAAACTTTTTTACAAATGGAAAAAATACTATAATTTACTTAATAATATCAAATATTCAATTTATGACATACTTATAAGTTCAATTACTAAATATGAAATCACAAAACCATTTAACTTATTATCAAATAACAAAGCATCTGATCTTTTTAAAGTCACATATTTCTTTATAAAACAAACTCAAAAAATGCTTATTTCCTATCTTCATATAATTTTCAATCAAATCTTATTTATTATTATCAGTACATAGCAAGTTTGTTACTAATCCAGACTAGGTCATCACATAATAATAGGTAAGTAAGGGTCTGTGTCACTTGCCTACCAAAGGCACTTATTAATAAATTCTCTTCTATCTATATGCCGGTCTAATTTATATTACAAGCTGTTATGATCTCTCAAGATTCTGTGAGTGGCAAATAATTAAATTAGGTAAGTTTATTAATTATTCTAGTGCAAATACAATAGGTACAAGTTTATATAATATCAATAGTTACTTATTATTTCAACTATCTGATCCACTTATATTTATACTTGCCACAACATGTATGCTAATCTATTATCACATTCTACAAATTCCTATTTAAACTATTTAAGCTTCTTGATGCAGGATTCAATGAATCACACCATATTATATGACTAATGATGATCCTAGTAACTAATGATGATCCTAGTGACCCATTCATTTTTCTCTGCTAACACTTCCCTTACACTTATTTTATGTGCAGAAGTACATATAATTATTCTATACTATTGGTTTGTAATATTATTTTAGGACTTTTGTATTAATAGAACTTGCCAGAACTTGTTCACCAATAATTTGCAGCTTGTAAGTATCTCAAGTAAGTATAATATACACGTAATATAGTCACTTCATTTTTTAATACATTTGCTGCTTCTTAGAGCTTCTAGTGCTGCACAGTATATCAGCACTTGATTTTTGATATTAAATAATTCTATTAGGTCTTTATTATGGTCGTAACATACTTTTTGCTTTTATTTTCATTGTTGTTATTGATAGTAACTTGGAATCCTGTTACAGCTAGTCCTCTAATATCAAATTCTTTATAGTAGGTAGTGTTATCCATTTGTGTCCTTGAATGCTAACTTGTGCACATTGTTAGTTATAGTAGCTTGGTTGGCCTCTCTGAATTGTTGTATCTTATGATATAATATGTTAGAATCCAGCAACATTTTTATCAGCTGATTCACTTGTCCTTTATTTTTCTTAATTTGTTTAATGCTAGCATTATTGATACATGCATTCACTAGATTTGATATTGCTGATTTGTTGTTGTCTTCTCTGATTTTCTGTTCAGAATCATGTAACAAGTTGATACTTCAGAGTCTTCTTACAAATTAGTTTGTTTGCTACTTATTATGAATTGTATTAACCATAATGCATATTTTTTTAATTATGATGATGTTATTGAATTCTACTTTGGTAATAGCAGTATTTAGATTACACACCATTAACGGTACCCTGGCCTTGTACCAGTGTGTAATTATTTGTTGTTGGCACATTAAAGGCAAGTGGCTATATTTAACAACAGAATTATACTGTTGGTCTGAAAAATGACGAATCAGTCACTTATCCAGTTCAAAGTTAATATTATTAAAGATAAGTTGAAAAGTTTAATATTGATTTGGCCAAGGTTTATTTTTTGTTAACAAGCTTTTTTTTTCTTTTCTTACATCAACTCTTCTCTTTATAATTCAAAGCTATATCCTATAGCAGCAATTATTCTTCCCTAAATGGTGCATATTTGAAAAGATAAGTTGTTAATTACAATATTCCTTTTTGGGTGCTTCAATTTTACTAATTATTTCTTTATTATTAATTATACTATTGTTTTTTTTTATTATTTACTTTCTATATATCATTCTATCTATCTATTTGTTTGTCTACCTGTTGTTCACTTTTCAATTGTATTGCTATTTATATTGTTGCTACTATTAAAAAAACAATTAAGAAAAAATAGACTATTGGGGCTAAAATAAACTATGGATAAGTTATGTAAGCTTTTATAACTATATTTTCTATACTGATTATTAATGCTACTTCACATTTCCAAAATATGCAATGCAGTAATCACAGTATATGACTATACCCTGTAACTTTTATAAGGCTAATAATACCATGTATATAAGTATTGTATATTAATTGTTGACCTCACTATTCTATTGATTGATTCTCTTAATATTGGTATAGTCTTTTGCTCTTTCTAACCATTTAGAATATTACTATCATAATTAAAGATATATTATATCATTTTCACATACTTAGGTTTAAAAATAGTACTTCCAGTCACGTTGATTAGAAGTTTTTTTACTGAATCTTCTGCCCAAATCATCTTATAAATTCTTATTATTGCATGGCATGCTAATTTTGTGAAGTTTTCAGAATGCACCATCATATGCTTTTTTCTCAACTTATCCCTTAAATCGTAGGGCATTTTTTTTATAACGTTTAAAATTTTTTAACTAAAAAGTTGCTTTTCATTTATTTT